ACACAACACAAATCCAAACCACACGCAGCACACATGAAAAAAAACACGCAACACCGGCGCAACACATCAACCAGCCGCACACTCACCACACACACACACAACATGAAACAAAAAAACAAACACCTAACACACTCACGCAAAAAGAAAACTACAAGCTCCAACCCTAGCAAAACCCACTGAAGCAAACAGTAAACCACCCATCGCAGAAAATCATATGCATGGACAATTTCGGCGGCGCCCTCCGACGATATCATTCGCGCGTTAGAAAAAAGACATGCAATGAATACTAACCGTCGCACCCCCGGGCCAGGAGCCGGCGGCGCCGCGGGGCGACCGCCGCGAGGACCTACGCGCGCGAACGAGAGATGCCGCGCGATAAATGAGGGCGCCGCACAACGCAAAGGAAGCTGCACGACGGGGGGGCCAGAAGACATTATAGGAAAACCATAAGACCATGAGGACACTTCGCAGCAAACAACTGCACTTCGACTGATGCCGCGCAAACTTGCAAAGAGCCCCCGGACCTTCGCGGGCGGAAAGGCGAGGGCGAAGAGGGGGGGCGGGAGCTGAAGGGGGCAGAAGGTCGATCGGCCAGGGCGGCGCACTTCTCCCTACCCAAGCCAATGCAAGTGTTGCCGGGGGCCCGCGCCCCCGCGCCCCGGCCCCAAATCGCGCGCCCCGAACTAGAATGCGAGCGTCAGCCCGCGCCCACCAAATGAACGACGCGCGCGCCGCGGCGGGATTTCGCGCGCATCCGCCCCGCCGGCAGATCGGTAAACGCGCGCCCCCGCAGCTCCGAACGCCGCCGCGGGCCTCTCCCGCAATTTTCACGCGCGACCCGCGCTGATGCAACCGCCGGCAATCGACGTGTTTGGAGGCGGCGGAGAACGCGCGACTGTCGCCATAAATAATCGGGCTGACCCGACGCCGGGCCGGTCAGAAGACCGGCGCTTCACGACGCTCGCCGAGCGCCAGGCCCGCCAGCAAAAACGGCATCTGATCGCTCGCCTCTCGCGGGCGCCGCCCCTCGATCGGCGCTCAAAGACGACGGTTCGCCTGGGGCCCGCCGAACAGACGCCCGGGCTTCCCGTTTTCGTTGGGGGGGGCCGGAGCCCCGCTGACATCTGCGGGGGGCGGTCGTCTGCCGCGCGGCAGCCACGGCGCTTCTGGAAACAATGCCGAGATGGCGCCCATGAGAACGCGATGAGAAGGCGATGGGAACACCTGAGAACACCTGAGAAGACATGAGACCGCACTGACGCCTACGCCGAGTGCGCCCCCCGACGACTAGGCCTGCCCGTGCCTGCGCGCGCCGCCCACTCCCCCCCCTCGCCCTCGTCCTCGCCCTCGCCCCCCTCGTCTTCCTCACCCCCATCACCATCCGAATCATAACCGCCATCCTCTTCCGCACCGCATGAAACGCCGCGCTGGAGTTCTAGGCGCGGATGCTTGGGCCACCAAATAAAGGGTGACAACGCAACCTTTGCGCGAACGCCGGGCCGAGGCGTCGCCCGCGGAATTCGCGGCAATCGCAACGCCCGGGCAACGACTGCCACGGGAAGCCACGCCCTGCTCGGCCGCGCAGGCGGGGGGCGCATCGGACAACAAGGCGCCGAAAAAGAGCAGCGCTGCGTTGGGAAGGGCGGGGGCCGCGCCGACTCCTCCACCGACCGTTCCCCCTGCCCCCCCGTCGCCGCTTCCTTCGTCGCGTTTTCGCGCCGGCCACGCGCCCGCGCGCCAGGGCCTCGCTTGGCGCCAGCGCCCGGGCACGCGCCACCCCTGCGGCGCCGCGCTCGCCCCCGCTTCCGCCGCCGCCGCGCACTTCAGCGACTCCCGCGTTTCCGCCTCCGCCGCCTCGTCGCCGGCTCCAGGGCCAACCGCCGCCAGGCAAATCGCCCCAGCACTTCCACCAACCGCTGCCCCGCCAGGAGCGGTCGGACCACGGCGACGCGGCAGCGCGCCACTCGCTCCGCCGCGCTCGGCGGTGGCGCGCCGCGGCGAAATCGCGCGAAACCAATTGCCGGCTCAGGCCGAAACGGCAGCGGCCCATAGAAATGAGAAACAAGAGATGAAGCGCCTAGCGCGCCGAAGATCCCATCGAACCCAGGGAAAGGCATGGAAAGAGAGCAGAAGAACAGTCTACACTGGGAAAGGACAAATCCAATACCGCACTCGCGAACACATAGCAAGAACACATATCGAAAACATGAATCACCATTTAATCATTTGCATACCGGAAAACGTTACAGAAATGAATCATGCATGAAATAAAAACGGAAGAGATTTTCAATGTAAACATATAGAAAAGCAGGGCTCCCATGATTTTTCAAATATTTAACCATCATACAAGCCTCGCGGCACCAATCCCCCATCAATTGCTCTGCGGGCCCATTTGCAGGAGTACCCGGAAGGAGGGGGGGGGGGGGGGGGGGCAGCGCAAGCAGGACCCAGGGGGGCCGGGCATTCAGAGGGTTGTGGAAGCCTTTCTGGATGCTTCCCGGGAACTCCGGCGATCTCCGGGGGGGCCCCCCTCCGCGAACCTGCAGCGACCTGCGAGGGGCGTCGCTTCCGCCCCGGCCCCGGCGCTCGCGAGGGGGGGGGGGGCCCGACCCCAGGGCTAAACCTATGCTAAGTACTTGCGCAATCCAAAATCCGAATAGCAACGCAGTCGAAAGCCGAAAGCGCGCGCAACGCTCATGGGGATGCCGGCAAGGGCGCTGGAACGCATGCCTGGGGAGCTTTTATACACCACCACCGCCCGCAACATAAACTAACAGCAACAAAAAGTTAGGGGCGGGGTCGTGCCAGACGACGCTGCGACGCCACGGCGAAAAGGGGCGCGGCGCAGCTCGCAGGCGCCGCGGCACGGGGAGTTCCTGGAGCAGCGGAGCAGAAACAGCACTTCTTGGTGGCTGCGCAAAAAAATCTGTCTTCTTGGTAACCAAGTTTTTACGCACCACTACCGCGCGTGCTTTGATGAATTCTGCTTCTTAAGAGAAAGGGTGGGCAGCCCGTTTGCCGTCGGCGGAAGGGGGGTGGCTGCGGGCTTTCCACTGGAGCAAAACTGCACCAAATCGCATCGTAAATGATTCTCGATCTCGGCGGTGGTAGTCATTTACTGCGCCCGGATGGAAGCGTGGGAGACGCGCGCGGGAGACGCTCGACAGGGCGCTGGAAAACATGCTCTGGGAGCTTACAAACTAAGAAGAGCGAGGTTCGGAGGAGCTTCGCAGGGCCCGCGACGCGGCTTCAAGCACGCGCAATGGGAACGAATAAAAACGCTGGCCAGACGGCGCCGGGCGCTCAAGCAACCTGCTCCGGGGTGCCTGCCCGGGCGCCCCGGAGAGGAGCTGGCGCGGCTCTGCGCGCCAGCTTCTAATCTGGAGCCCTCTTAAGCTCTCCGTGGAGCTATCTGGGAATGAGCCCACATACGACAAACGAATACAAACACACTTATACACAACGCATACATAACAGACACCACATATACACAGCACGCAAAAACAAAATACATAAAACAAGTGCACAACGCAAAACACATACAAAGCACGCACACACACACACAAATCTATATTTATATATATATATATACACACGCATACACACACACAACTCGCCAACAACACACGCACGACTAAAACATGCACACCGTAGCGCGCCCGGGAGCGCCTGGGGCACATGGGGGCGCGCCTGGGCGCGCCTGTGACCTGGGAGCGCCTGGGCGCGTTCGGGAAGCCTCGGGGGCGCCTGGGGGCGCCTGGGGGAACTTTTGGCGCCGCCCGGGAGCGCCTGGGAGCGCCCGGGGGGGCGCCTGGGCGCGCGCTCGGGGGCGCGCCCGACACCGCCCGGGGCCCCCGACGCCGCGGGGGGGCGCAGCGAGCGACTGGGAGCGCCTGGGGGCCCGGGAGCGCGCCTGCGAGCGCGCCTGGGGGCGCCGAAGAACACCCGGGGCGCGCCCGGAGCACGCTGGCGACTGCGACTACGACCACGCCCGCGACTACGACTACGACTACGACTACGACTACGACTACGACTACGACTACGACTACGACTACGACTACGACTACGACTACGACTACGACTACGACTACGACTACGACTACGACTACTACTACTACTACTACTACTACTACTACTACTATACTACTACACTACTACTACTACTACTACTACTACTATACTACTACTACTACTTACTACTACTACTACTACTACTACTACTACTACTACTACTACTACTACGACTGAAACTGAAAATACGACTACTACTACTACGACTACTACTACTACTTCTACTACTACTACTACTACTACTACTACGACTACTACGGCTACTACCCTACTGGTACTACTACGATTACAACTACTACTACCCCTACTGCTACTTCTATTACTAGTACTACTACTACTACTACTACTACTACTACTACTACTACTGCTACTACTACTACTACTACTACTGTACTACTACTACTACTACTACTACTACTGCTACTACTACTACTACTACTACTACTACTACTACTACTACTACTACTACTACTACTACTTACTACTACTACTACGACTACTACTACTACTACTACTACTACTACTACTACTACTACTACTACTACTACTACTACTACTACTACTACGACTACTACGGCTACTACCACTACTGGTACTACTACGATTACAACTACTACTACCCCTACTGCTACTTCTATTTAGTACTACTACTACTACTACTACTACTACTACTACTACTACTACTACTACTACTACTACTACTACTACTACTACTACTACTACTACTACTACTACTACTACTACTACTACTACTACTACTACTACTACTACTACTACTACTACTACTACTACTACTACTACTACTACTACTACTATGATGAGGGAGCTTGGGGGGAGGGTTGATTCCAACATCTTTGATGGGTCTTCGGTTCCCGCTGGTCTTCCTCCTCCTCCTCCTCCACAGCACTCCTCGGGAGCGGGAAGGCAAGGCAGGCTGCATCGGCGCGCACCACCCGGTCCCTCTCGGACAGGCGAGCGCGGAGGAGATCGGCAGACCCCGCGCGGAGAAGCCTGACAAAAAGCGACGGGAGCCGTCGAAAACCACAGGGACGCCGAGCCAAAATGAACGCCTCGCGCGATGACGTCCAAACGCAGTGCTGCTCAACGCCCGCTCGATTCATGCAGCTACACCCTGGGATGTCCTGCTTCCGCTTGGACTGGTTTTGATGGTCATCCGATCACCTTTGGATTGTGGGCTGCGGGCAGTCTCTGGGGGAACCACGATGCCCTGGATCCGACGATTTCCTCTACACTAAAAATGATTCCCCGCTGTCGCACCCCGAGGCCAGTCGGAAAGGGCCGGGAGTTTCGCCTGAGACGTCCTTGCCATTTATGGTCCTGAAGCTTGAATATTTGCAATCATTTCACAGGTCGGAGGGCGGCTCCCGCCTTAGCGCCGCGCGCACTCGTTTGAAACATGTTGCGAAGGTTTCACGGATTGAAAACGGATCGTTTTGAAAGTGTGGCTCTCGCTTTAGGGACTTTAGGGCCGCGCACACTCGTCGAAACAAACTTGTGAGGGCTTCACGGACTGAGGGCGGCTCCTTAAAATGCGGCTATCGCCTCAGCAACGCCCACATTTGGTGCCGTCATTTGCGCGAGTTTCACGGATCAACATGGTCAACGAAACCAGAAATGATGTGTTGGAACGACTCAAGACTGTCAGCCGGGACTGGTGCTCTGGCACGATTCAAGATCGTCAACACGCAACAGTCAGGTTGAGTCGTGGGGGCTGGTGTTTCGATACGAGTGTGTTTGCACGCATCAGGATATTCAGACGGTTGTCTCCCAATGGGGCACTTCCTTCAGCGAAATGAACCCGTGTAGGTGCCTGAAAGGAAGAGGAAGCTTGGATGGAGGATGTTTGGTTCAAACGTCGCTGATGAATCTACGTTCACACTGATCGATGTTCTAGTCCCGTCCTCTTCATCTTTATTTGACGTTCCATGGCCGCTTTTCAACCCATCATCATACGCATCACCAGCATCATCATCAGCACCAGCAACAACATCATCGCCAGCATCACCATCAGCAGCATCATCGTCAAAATCACCGTCACCACCGTCAGCATCACCATCAGCACCATCATCAGCAACAGCACCATCACCACCACCATCATCACGGTCATCCACATCCCCATCCTCAGCATCATCAACCTCAACAGCATCAGCATCATCAGCACCAACAGACTCATCACCATCAGCATCAGCATGAGAAAAATCAGCAACAGCAGCATCATCAGTACCATCACCATCACCCTCACCCTCACCACAAGCATCATCAGCATCATCATCAACAACATCAGCATCATCACCATCAGCAGCAACATCAGCATCATGACCCGCATCATCAACATAAGCAGCACCAATATCACCCGCAGCATCATCACTCTCATCATGAAAAGTCCGCATCAGCATCTTCATAAACGCCGCCATCAACGGGACCACCACCACCATCATCATCATCATCACCAGCAGCACGACCACCATCATCATTCACAATCACAACAGCAGCACGACCAGCACCTCCATCCCATCAACATCATCAGCAGCATCAGCACCGTCATCATCGTCATCGCCATCGTACACACCAGCCTTCTCATCATCACCAGCATGTAGCAGTCAAGTCATCATCAACATCATCGTCACTTCGTCAACATAATCGTACCCAGCACCCGCAGCAGCGTAATCATCATCATCAACAGCATCAGCCCAAACAACGAAAAACAAAAACAACAACAAAAAACAACATCATCATAGAATCATCAAAAACACGTTCGCCTTCACACTCAAAAGCATAATCGTCGTGGTCCGCGCAATCAGTTTCAGGGCCACCACCATCAGCATTACGATCAGCATCACCATCGTGATCATCGCCATGGTCATCGTGAGTTCGTCCTCGTCATAACCATCACCATCATGATCGTCATCGTCATCGCCATCATGATTACAACAGCCATCAACCACAGCACCACTGACCATGATCCCTCATCTTCATTTGTAGCCCACCCGCTATCACCAACACCACCGCCCCCAGTACAGTCGGCCTTGATTGGACAATTTACGCGAGAGGTCGCCATAGGAGTGTAAGAAGGCACGTGTCGCGACGCACAAGACACAAGGGCCCCTTTGAGCTGGCACGGTCAACCTAATCCGGGCCGGCTGCACAGCCATCAGTTGTCCCTTCCCCTTCCCCGTTCCCCACCAGATCCCCTGCAATTGGCCAACACTGCATCGACAATGTCAGACATGCAACAGCATGAAACAGCCGCCGCCTCCACCATCCTCGTCCTGATCCAATCCAGTCGCGCATCCCGAGATCCTTTTTCCAACCTCCTCCTCCTTTTCCTCCTCCTTCTTTTCCTCCTCCTCCTCCGTTTCCTCATCCGCCTCCTCCAACTCCTCTTCCTGGTCCTCCTCCTTTTCCACCCCCTCCTCCGTTTCCTCCTCCGCCTCCTCCTCCACTTCCTTCCCCTCCTCCTCGCCCTCCTCCTCCTCCTCCTCTCCTCCGCCTCCGCCTCCACCCCCGCCCCCTCCCCCTCCTCTTCCTCCTCCGCATCCCCCCCCCCCCCTCCTCCTCGTCCTCCTCCTCCTCCTCGTCCTCCTCCTCCTCCTCCTCCTCCTCCTCCTCCTCCTCCTCCTCCTCCTCCAGGTCGTTGGTCAGCGCGCCGACGGGCGCGCGACCTGATGGCGGACCAACCTTATGATGGCTCCGCTCGACCTCGCGCTGAGCGGGTTGCTGGATGTTCTAATTTCGTTGTGTAGGTAACATGTCGGTGAACAGCATACACTATGATGATGAAAGAGGCACGATACGGGCGCAGCAAGCATAGCCGCTCGATGGGACAGGCCGGGAGCTGAAGGAGATGGGCAGCACGGGCGACGAGAGCGAGGAAGACAGGACATAACTACAGATGGCGGAAAGCGTGGGAAGGGCGGTGACGGAATGGGCAGGGCTCGTGCTCTTGAAAGTTGGGCGACGTGACCCACCCCCCGACCAGGGTGCGCACGATGGCGGCTCTCCAGGAAGGAGGGGGAAAGAGGGGGGAGGTGCGGACTTCAGACCAGGGGATAATGATAATATGAGGAGGGTTTGGGAGAAACCAGGAATGGAGGCGGCGGAGAGAGAGAGAGAGAGAGAGAGAACAAAAAAAAAAAAAACAACAAAAAACGCTTGAAGCCGATCGGGAGAAAGTTGAGAAAAGGCAACGTTGGGGATGGAATGCGAGGTGGAAGATGCAGACGAGTAGCTTGAATACTGCTGAATTGCAGTCTAGCAGGGACACATACGGCTTGAAAGGACCTTGGGCTCGGGAAAACCCTTGGAGGCGGCCTCGAGGGCGCTGGCGAACGCGGTGGACTTCGAGAACACTGGCCACAGCTGCGGTATCCAGACATATGGCCACTTCGCGCCTCGCACGGCACAGGCAATCGGCAAGGCGATTTCGGCGACTTCGCGGAGGCGGGAATGGATGGGATGCCAGTCTGCAGACGTGCACCAGCTGGCACGGATGAGCTGGGCGACATTCGCACGCCAAGCATTGCGGATGAGAGGGCAGCCCAACTTGTCATGGTTCGGCATGCCCTGCTCGTCGACTCGAAAACACGGGAATGTTAGAATGCTGGCCAAGATCGCTGCCTCCTCGCCCCTCCTCTCTGGCAGCGAGAGTTGGCCCTGGCCCACGTGCGAGAGAACAGGGGGGACATGACAAGCATACATGGAGGCAGCAAGCTCAACAGGGTCTCCCGCCTCTGTCAGGACTCGCGCACGCTGCATACATTTGCCCCAAGGTGTCTCCAACGAGGTGGAAGGGGTGACAGCAGGACCCAGCCAACGACCAAAGTACGGAGCCACCGGGACAATGTCAAAAATAAGCCATCGATGAGGCCATAGCGGATAAGATTATGCGATAGCTGGGCAAGGGTGTCAGGAATACTCTGCAGCTAAGGCGCGAGCTTGCATATTGGCACCTCCCCAACGAGGTGCGCAAGAGACTTCGCCACTCGGAAGACAAAGTCAAGGACCGCTATATCCTTCAGCGGGTGCGAAAACCGTTCCTGCGTCATCTGCAAAAGCCCTCGCAATGCCCTTGCCCCGAGACCCCGGCAAAGCACGGAAAAAGCCAATTGGAATGGTCAGAAATTACAGCGAAAAGCGCGCAGTTTGGAGGGCGCCCTTGGACGACGACGCTGGCGGCCCAGAAGAGGACCGCTCAACGCCCCCAAACGCGCTGGCACATATGACTCCAACATACAGGTCCACAGGGAGGTGGGCGAGCTAGGGAGGGAGAGACGTCTCCGAACAGAGAAAAGCCATCGCTGGGCGACGGGGAGGGACGCCCGGCCGAAATCGAAGCAGAGAAGGGCGGGGAGGTGGAAAAGAGGAGGCTCGCGCATTCTCGCTCGTCGCCCCACGGCGTCGAGCTCGAAAATGTTGCGCTCGAAATTGCGGCGGGGAACGAGGCCGCGCTGGGCCTCGCCGAGGCCCGGGGAGAGGGGGCGGGCGAGGGGGCGCATAGACACGCCCGCGATCACTTGGTCGCCGCAGTTTTTCACGCCGATCGGACGACTTTCAGACGGGCGACAAGCGCCAGCAGGGCCCCCAGGGGAGCAGGTCCTTCTGGGAATGAAAACTCGCTTCGCCACGTTGCGCCCGAAGAGCAGGCCGTGGCCAGAGTGGATCCAGCGCGTGGAACCGCGGAGCACATCAGTTCCTCGGGGACAAAGCACCACGCGCAATGCGGAAGCCTGTCAGGTCCAGGAGCACTTTGAAATTAGATCTCGAGATGCGGGGGGGGGGGGGGGGGGAATTCACGGTCGAAGAAGGGGCGATCTATCTAAGAAGGCATCCGCCTCCTCGTGCAAATGCGCCTCGGTCGCGAAGATCGGCGCCCAGCGTTGGGCCAGATTCGAAAGGATCGCGAAGGACTCTGCGCAATGCACCCGCCAGTGCGGACGCCTCTCAGAGCGAGCCGCCCGTCGAACGGACGCCACAGCCTGGAAAGGCCGCTGATCCTGCGAGCACGGGCCGACGCGCGAGCGATCGCAGACGGATTCATCAGCCGCGGAGCACGAGCTTGCAGAGACCGCTCCGTCGTCTGCGCGGAATTGAAGCGGAGCCCGTTGGAGAGGATGAGGAACAACGCGGGGCTGCTGAGGGAGATGGAGCGCGAGTTGCGATAAAAGACGACGCGCTCTCTGCAGAGCGGATGGGACTGGAAAAGACGCTGCGCCAAAACCCAATCACGATAAAGCACGGGCAATTCCTCGGACCACCCAAAAGCGGGAAACTTGGGCGCGGGTGCGTTTTTGGAGGAACTGATTCCCGGCGACGCGCGCCGCTTTCGTCGACAGGGCTTTGCAATACGCATGCGGTCCAAGGGAGCGGCCTGGACCGCGCGGCCCAAACAGTACCTGCGCGGGGCGGATGCAAAAATGCCCTCGGGAATCGGGCGATCACCCCCGGGCCCGGGGCGGCGCCCACATGCACAGGCAACCGCGGGCGCGCGATCCGTCAGCCCCGTCGCGACCAACAACTCAGGGCTCTCGGAAACTCCCCCACAAAAGGCGCATTGCGAGAGAATCCAGCCTGGCAGCGAGGAAAAGACCCTAGCAAGGAAGCGAAACGTCGAGCTCTGCTTGCTGAAGTGGGCGGGGGGGGGGGCTCAAACTCGAACGCCGAAGCCACAGCCTGACTCGAATCGCTGGAGGGGGGGGGGGGGGGGCGGGGGGGGGGCGGGCTAGGTCCAGTAAAGACAGCGAAGTCACCGCCCGGGGGATCGAGGGGAATGGGTTCGTGAGATGAGAGGCTCATATCCCCAGCGATGAGAACATCTATTTAGCGGGCTCTCCTGCGCCTGCTGAAGCGCGCCCGACAACTTCCCGAGCAAAATTGCCTCGTCGCCCGCCGACAAGTTGCGAGCGTGAACGCGAAAGTGCCGAGCCCAGCACTGCCCACTCACAAGCCGCATCGCGGCGTGAAGACCGCGGCCGGGGATCAGAGGGGACGAGGAGACAAGAGATAGGACGCCGGAGATTCAGTGGAGAGAAACTGAAGAAAAATTGCGGTCACGCCCCCTTATCTGAAACCGTTGAGAAAAGACCAGCGCGCCGGAAGGGGGGCGAAGAGAATGGAGGAGATCGCAACTGTCGCGCGGAGCTCTGCGCGTCTCTTGCAAGACAACTATACTGCCTTCGAACAGCAGACGGCGGAGCAGCTTCCCTTTTCGAACTCGCAGTGTGTCATCGCGACGAAATAGCGCCCTCGCATTCCATGAGACCGCTCGAATACTGAAGTGAATAGCAGCAGCTCGCCGCGACGGACCATGCCACAGAGCACTGAGCGCGCCAGGCGCTCCACGCAGCATCTGCCTCGAGGCCGTAGAAGTCGAAGATGAGCTGTCGCAGGCGGTGCACATCCACGCCCTCTGAGCGCGCGTTTGCGTCGGCACAGAGGATGTTCGGCGATTCCTGGCCTTCGACAGGGACAATCGTGCACAGCGGTTCCCAACCAATGTGGCGGTCCATGTAGAAGCGCCGGAACTCTCTCACCAGCGCGGCTTCGACCCTCTTGCAGCCCAATTCACGGCGGACCATCGCCGTGTTCTTGCCGGCCCCGACGCAGAGGTTGATGGGCCCATCCGCGATCGACTCGGCACGGAACGATCTCCACACCAGTGGGGCATTGCCTGGCGACGGTGTCTTGAGAGCGCCCAATGTTTGATTGACCCTGCGCTCAGCATAGTTGCGGGATTCAGGAAAAAACAATGAATGTGGTGACTGAGGGTTCCTGCTCGTCGAAGGTGCATTCTGTACACGCAATGTTACAGTCTCGCAGTCAATTTATCCCCCAGTGCACTCCGCATGTTGGATTTTGTGACCCGCTTCTGCGCCCGAGTGGCCACGACGGTTGCGTCAATCGTTATGTTGAAGGATCAGATTCTCCACCGTGCGGCGGATGTCGCGAAGGAGTTCGTGTTAGTGGGCAACGAGGGGAAGGATTGCTGGACGCTGTTCTGCATGGCGGAGAACGACTGCTGCAATGCTGTTTGGACTAAGTCCGCATGTGCACGAAGGGCGAGCATATCTTCGGGCTGACCAGCTTGGCGACCACCATTGGCGGCTGCACCTCGAAGCGGCGAAGGAGGCGGCGGGACGACCAACACCTGGAGGAACGGCAGCACCTGCTCCGCGGACAGCACCAGGAAGAGGGGCACTCGAGGCCGACGCCGAACTGCCTTTGCCAGCACCCTTGAACTCGTGGGTTTCGTGGGAGGCGACGAAAACAGCACGTTTGTGAGGGGGGTTCATCAGCTGCGCCATTATCAAGTTGAGGAGGATGAGCGGCACGCGCAGGAATGGCCACTTCTTGCGACGGAAAGGTGGGCATGGCGTCGAGCTCCGCCAATGTCGCGGCCGCTGCCGCTGCACGAGCGTCGCCATTCTCCATCACCGAGAGAGAAAGAGAGAGAGAGAGAGAGAGAGAGAAAAAAAAAAAAAAACAACAAAAAAAAAGAGAGAAAACAAAAAAAAACGGAAATCAGGGCCACGCTGGGTCAGCGCGGGAAAAGCGGCTGAGGGAATGCGGCACTTTGGCGCGCCTGGAGACGTCAGCGAGCGTGAGACGAAAGGCTGACCTGGCCAGCTTTCTCGACAGATGTTCTACTTGAGTCAGAGTGGCTTGAGCCAAAATCGCCACGGACCCTCCTCATCTTCCTCCTCCTCTTCTTCCTCCTCCTCCTAACTCCTCTCGACCGACCAGCGTCGAGCCTCCTCCTCCCCCTGTTCCCTCTCAGCGCGCGCGCGCGCCCCTCCTCCGCGCGCCCCTGTGGCTCAGACCGCCCTGGACTAACAAAAAACACGCGGCGCCCGCCCGCGCTGCGGCCCACGCGGGGACAGCTGTCCCCTCCGCGGGGCACCCGCGCCCGCGACCTGCGGTGCGCGGCGGGGCCCGCCGGTGGCGGGGGGAGCGGCAGCGGGGGGGGATCGGCAGACTCAGACGTTACTCGCGTCGCGAAAAGATCACGACAGACGAGCTTCGGCCGCTGTCACACGACGAAGCCAAGACGAGGATAAGATCGGGTGAGGACAGATGGAGAATCTCTGAGATCCGGCGCATCTGGAGGCTCTCTCGGGCGCCGCGGCCTTCCCAGAGTGTTCCAGAACACACTGTGAGCGTTCCCGAACGCTGTGGAACGGACTTGGGCAACGCTCAATGGGGGGGCGATCTAAAGGAGGGGGGGAAGAGAAAGGCGCACTTCTCGGGACCGAAGGGCCACCTTCTCGGCCCCAAAGGGCCCTCAATCGGGCGTTGGCAGAGCTGGGTTTAGCGGGACCTGGTTTCGTGATGTGTACCAGGGGGCGCCCTCCGGCCCCGTTCCACTGACCGGAACTGCCGTCACCCGAAAGAACACCAGCCAGGGCAGACCTGGCTTAGTGATCCTGGCCAATCTAGGAGCTCCAGGGACCTACCACTAACCGGGTCCCCTTACCTGGGGCCCTGGCTATACCCGACTCAGGGGCCCCTCTTCTGCAGCCCTCGCCGCCCCCCCCACGCGTCGCCCCGCCCACTGCACGAGGCTCCGATCTTCGGCCGTCTTCGGCTGCGGGGCGCCCTCGCCGGGCCCCCGGGGGTCGTCGTCGTCGTCGTCGTCGTCGTCGTCGTCGTCGTCGTCGTCGTCGTCGTCGTCGTCGTCGTCGTCGTCGTCGTCGTCGTCGTCGTCGTCGTCGTCGTCGTCGTCGTCGTCGTCGTCGTCGTCGTCGTCCTCGTCCTGTCACTCGTCCTTCTCGTCGTTCTTCTCCTCCTCCTCCTCCTCCTCCTCCTCCTCCTCCTCCGCCTCCTCCTCCTCCTCCTCCTCCTCCTCCCTCCTCCCCTCCTCCTCCTCCCTCCTCCCCTCCTCCTCCTCCTCCCTCCTCCTCCTCCTCCTCTTGTTCCTCGGTCGGGAGACGGCTCGGGACGAGGGACTGGGATAGAAAGGGTCGGGCGGCACGGCCGCAGGGCGTTCACGGGCCCGCCTCGCCACAAGAGGGCGCGCGGTCTGTTGACACCACCCGGGGAGACGTCAGGCTCGGGTTCGGGGGGCTCGGATTGGCCTGACGGGCATCATGAAAAGGACGAGACCCAGTCTGAAATGTGACGCGAACTCTCGCTGCAGACGTCCTACGAAAACTGGACCGTCTGAATCCACGACGCGCTCGCCAAAAAGCCTCTGGAAAGCCCGAGTTCGGGCGTACTCGAGTCGTACGCTTCCCCGAACCATTTCTGCACAATCAGTGGGGAAACAGTTCATGATTGTGGTAAGGTGCGTGCGCCAAGTAGCTCTTGGCGCTACATCTTTGTGTCTGTGGCCGCGCACGCTGCCAGGAGAAGGAAACCAGAATGGATACACATACATATACATACATATATATATATATATATATATATATATATAGGGGTCGAGACTTCGGGGACCGCGTCGCTCAATATCCGCACCCTCGCGGTCTGGATTCTGGGGCGCGATCCCACGGATACGCGCTCGCACGGACGCATTCCGCGCGGGGCATCCGCGAAGAAACGCCCCATACCTGCGGGGTCGCGGCCCAGGGGCCCGGCCAGGGAGGGCGCGGATCCGGATGCTGTTTCGCGCACGAGCCGTGACGGAATCAAGACGCAGAGACTGGGCCGTGTTCGGCCTCCGTGGGCTCGCGCTCGGCCCCAGGACCGTCAAGAGACGAGTCGGGACGAAGACCCGACCCTGGGGAAAAGGGTCCAGGATTTCCAGGGGCCGCGCACAGAGACGAATCAGGACAGAGCATGTCTGGGGACAGCTCACGGGAGCAGTAATGACAGCAGCGGGGCATCGGGTTGGGGCCTTCGCCAGGGGTACTTTGGGACGGTATCTTGCCCGCTGCCGCCCCTCTCCCCCCTCGGGTGCTCGGGCATTAAGATCGATCGTGCGGGGCCCCAGGCGACACGCTCGCCGCCGATTGTGGACGGTGGCGGCAGTGGCAGCACACAGGTCACCGCCGCAGCAGCCGCTTCCACGAGGCGGCGTGGAGAGACCGGCGACGCCAGTCAGAGCCTGGTTCGGGCCTCCAGTAACACGGTTCACGTCCGATTGCCCTCCGTTCGGCGTCGGCTTCATAGCCGAAATGACAAAGTTTGGACGCGGCGACAAAAATTGCCAAGAACCACAAGGAAGGCAAGTCTGGGTCTGTGTGGTAATATTCCTGCTCTGGCGGCACCTCTTTCTCACACTCCTCCTCACTCTCCTCCTGCTCCGCGTCGTCATGACCATCACCATCACCATCACCATCACCATCACCATCACCATCACCATCATCATCATCATCATCATCATCATCATCATCATCATCATCATCATCAACATCAACATCAACATCAACATCATCATCATCATCATCATCATCATCATCATCAGCATCATCATCATCAGCATCATCATCATCATCATAATCGGCATCATCATCATGATCATCATCAGCAGCATCGTCATCATCATCAGCATCATCAGCATCATCATCAGCATCATCATCAGCGACATCATCAGCATAAGCATCAGCATCAGAATCATCATCAGCATCAGCATCATCATCATCATATCATCAGCATCAGCATCATCACGAGCATCGTCATCACCATCGTCATTACCAATAACAGCATCGTCGACAACAGCAACATCGTCATTGTCAACAGCAACAGCACCATCATCATAATCAGCATCATCATCGTCATCAGAATCATCGGTGTCATCGTCATTGCCAACATCATGGTCATCAATCTCATCAACAGCATGATGACACTCATCTCTCCGTCATCACCATCATCATCGTCGCCGCCGTTATCACCGGCATCAACATCAGTATCAGCATCAGCACCAGCATCATCTGCATCATCAGCAGCATCATCATTAGCAGCAACATCATCATTATCATGACCATCATCATCATCATCATCAGCATCATCATCATCATTATCATCATCATCATCATCAGCATCATCATCTGCATCATCATCATCATCATCACCATCATCATCATCATCATCATCGTCGTCATCGCCATCGTCATCGTCGTCATCATCGTCATTGTCGTCGTCCTCGTCCGCATCATCGTCAGCAGCATCATCAGCATCATCAGCAGCATCATCAGCAGCATCGCCAATACGAAAATCAACATTAGTATCAGCATCAGCACCATCGTCAGCAGCATCATCAACATCACCACAACCACCATCATCATCATCAGCATCAGCATCATCATCATCATCATCATCATCATCATCATCATCATCATCATCATCATCATCATCATCAACATCGACATACTCATCATCAGAAGCAGCAGCAACAGCATCATCATTGTCACCATCATCACCAGCATCGCAATCATCACCATCATCATCATCATCATCATCATCGTCGTCGTCATCGTCATCATCACCACCATCATAAACATCAACGTCGTCATCCTCATCCTCCTCCTCCTCGGTCTCCTTCCTCTCTTCGTTCTCATCATCACCACCATTATCATAATCACCAGCATCCTCATCATCACCATCACCATTATCAGCAGCATCATGATCAGCATCATCGTGACCAGTGTCATCAACATCATCACCAGCATCATCATCATCATCATCATCATCATCATCACCAGCAGCAGCAGCCGCAGCAACAGCAGCATCGTCATCATCAGTACCATCCGCACAAGCATCATCATGAGCATCAGCTGCATCATCATCGCAATCGACATCGTCATCATCATCAGCATCATCACCATCATCAGCAGCATCAGCATGATCATCAACATCAGCAGCAGCATCGTCATCATCCCCGCCATCATCATCAGCATCGTCCCCTTCCTCATCACCAGCACCATCAGCATCATCGTCAGCACCACTATCACGATCATCGCCAGCATCATCAGCAGCACCATCATCACCATCGGCATCGGCATCGTCATCGTCAGCAGCAGACGCAACAGCAACAGCAACAGCAACAGCGTCAGCATCATCATCATCATCAGCAGCATCATCAGCATCAGAACCACCAGCACCACCATCACCATCACCATCACCATCACCATCACCATCACCATCACCATCACCATCACCATCATCATCATCATCATCATCATCATCATCATCATCATCATCATCATCATCATCGTCGTCCTCCTCCTCCTCCTCGGTCTCCTCCCTCTCTCCTTCCTGCTTCTCCTCCTGCCCCGCATGGAGGAAAATCTAGAAGAGGACCCTCTCAGTTGAGCCACTTGTTGCCCACGTCCCTCCGGACCCCCTGGACGATGAGGCCGAGCATGAAGACGCACAGCATGCCGCCGTAAGCTGCGCCCTCCAAGACCTGCGAGGATGCGGAATCGGGGGGGGGTAGGAGAGGAAAGCACATATCCCGCCGCAAACTGCGCCCTCCAAGATCTGCAAGTAGGGAGGAGGAAGGATGGGAAGAGCTGCAACAGCAGCAGGAAGGAGCAGGAAGGGGCAAGAATGAACAGAAACAGGAGCAGAAACAAACTGCACCGCACAGCAAGGCAACCCCCTCCTCCCCGCTGGCGGCTGGTCATTCGGCAAGCCAGGCCGAGGCCTGAGCCTTGGGGGAAGGGAGGAAAGGAATGGGGAGGATGAGGAGAGGGAAGGAAGTGAGAGGTAAGTAGGCAGGAGGCAAAAACAAAATGAGGACGAGGGGGGGGAACGGGACAGGAGGAGGGAGGAGAGGACGGGAGAAGAGGACGAGAAGGAGGAAGAGCAGGAGGAGGAGGAGGAGGACGAAGACGAGGAGGAGGAGGAGGAGGAGGACGAGAAGGAGAGGAAGAGAAGGAGTGGAAGGGATGGACAAGGAGGAGCAGGAGGTGGGCGGCCAACCAGAGGGTGGGGGAAGGGAGCAAAGGGACAGGGCGAAGGCGAAAAGGAAGGAGAACTGGAAAACGGACGCAGCGGCCTTGGCGCAGAGCCAGGAGGAAAAAGGGGAAAAGGATGGGGACGAGGACGAGAAAGACGGGCGAGGAAAAACGAAGACGATGAAGACGAGGACGACGAGGACGATGACGACGAGGAGGACAAGGAGTACGAAGAGGGCCCGTTGATGATGATGATGATGACGATGATGATGATTTCCCCGCCGGAACGATGACAATGACCAATGGCAACCAATGCGTTGGCCAGCTAGCGAGCACAGCCAAGCGGTCGTTAAATTCGAACGGACGCATTACCAGTGCAAGGCTTTTGGCGCCGCGGAAGCCAAACCACCGCCACGGGTGGGCGCCAAGGGAGACGGCGGGCAAGCAGCAGCAGGGAGGGGGGCGGAGGGGGGACCGATCGATCGATCAAGGCCGTTGCACGCCACTAGGCTCACCGCTCAAATTATATCGTGGCGGCTAGCGAAGACAAGCGGCAGCGGCGGGCGGGCAAGGCGCCTTGAACTTGCCCCGACCTCGCGCGCGGGCGAAGGCAGCACTGGTAGCGACGAGCCGACACGGGATGAATCAGCTTCGTCGCATCAGCTGGGCTGCAATAGAGGGTGCAGGACCGCTTTCCCAAGTCGGCGAGGGGGCCCGAGCTCCAACGCGACCCCGACCGGCACGCACAACCGATCCGACTGTAAGACTGCAGCAATGAAGAGAGCTGAACGGGCGGCGGGCGGCACGGACCCCACCTGCCTGCGACTCTACAAGAGAGGCAGCACCGAGAGCCCCAAAGAGAGCAGGCGGCAGCGGCCAAAAAACCCGAGGACCGAAGAGGGAGGAAACCCAGGAAACCAGGACGGACAACGGACCGAACAGACAGGAAGAGGAGGCGGGCCACAAGACAGATGTTTGGAACAAAGGCCACTAAAACAACAGGCAGCGAACCATCAGGATTGCGGAGATACTGAACAGCAACCCGCATCGCTGGATACCTCTGCATCAGAAAATGCAAACGGCCCTCGGAGACTTGCCCGGGAAACGCACGAACGAGAGCAGCCCGAGAGCTAAATTGCGAGCGCGCGTCAACAAAACTGTCGACCAAGGCGCAGAAGGCGACATCGCGCTTGATATCGGGCGCCCGGCCATCGACACAACACAGAACTGGGAGAGGAGAAGCGAAACCGAGAGGAAAGACAGGAGGGGCCCAGAACAAGAAACGACAGGAATCGCCGCCGCGACGACAACCAAACAGGCATGGTTCCGTTTCGCCGCGAACCCTCGCAGAGGTCCAAGCCCCACGGCGAAGGGCCCGCAGGACGGCAACAACTAGACACTTAGAAACAATACGACACGATCGAGCAGGAGAGGGATCCACATCAGCACTCTTCTGGGGACTCCTCCGACCATCACCCCACGCTTAGCAGCGCCGCGCAGACATCTGACCCATTTCGCCAGAGTCACCCGCGCTGGATCAAGGACAACAGCGGCTGCGATCGGTGAGAACCTGGCCACCGCATCAGCCATGCACGATAGAAACTAGACCACAAACCAACCAGAGACCAGTCTAGCGGTGATCAGATCGCCTGAGGAACGACGAATCTCCGCCAACGCTGCCACACATTCGCCCCAGGCACTAGAACCTAAGGCCGTTCGAAACACAGAGGCTTCGGCAATGGAGGCAATCGAATGGCTGCACGCGTCGCATCACGCGTCGCCGAGACAATGCGCCATCGTGCCGCTGCAACTGCAGCGCGGGCCAGCGCGAATGATTTGCCGGGCGAGATCTTCTAGCTGGAAGAGACGAGGGGTCGGGCGGTGAAACTGGAGCACATAGCTGAGGACAGTCACCGCCCACACATCATAGGCAACACTCGGCTCTGCCAAGCCAATCTCCACCTCGCGAATCTTACAAGCACGGAAGAAACATATATCGCATCGAGTGGGGAAGCTTCGCAGACGCGCCTCATGTCAAATAAACTCCCACATAGCGGCGACACCGAACCACCTGGAAACGTTCGCGGCCCCGCCCCGCATACGCCAGGAAGTCCAGAAAACCTCGCAAGTTCCTAGAACGTCCAACCATGACACCACATTTCCCAAAGTGCAGCACGGGCCCAACCGCCGTCGAGACGAAGCAAATCTTATCGAAGGAGGGGGGGCAAATCGGTAAACATGTTCTCAGAGCGGAACCTCAAGTCGTCGGCATAGCTTGAGAGCCCAAGCCTTGGGGGCCCTGTCTCGAGAAGCCACCTGCAGACATGGCCAAGGGCAAGAGCGAACATATTCATGGAGGCAGGGCGCCCCTGGCCGACCCCGCGACCCACGCGGAAGGACGCCAGGGGGACACCACAGTCATGGGCTCTCGCTCTGTTGTCTGCATAATGGTATCTGATGAACTTCACGGCCCAAGACAGGGCGCCCATCCACCCGAAGACGTGCAAGCCCCATTCCACATATAGACTGGGAGACGCAGCTGTGAAGTCGGTACAAAGCTGGACCAGGTCTTCTTCTCTGGCCAAAACCCATCGGCTTCGCAGCGAATGATGTGGTCTAAAATCGATATCCCCGGAAAGCCCCGGGCTGCAGCTTATGAGACGACTGCATGCTGACTCTGGTGAGAGGATAAGCGACGGCAGCAGTGGCCAGCTTGCAATCGGCGCGCATCGTGGGGAACGGACGAGTAAAGGGCGGCTTGCGAGCAGGGCCAGCAGACGCACCAGAGGGGTGATCGACCTTCGCCAGGAAGGCCACGAGCACCCCTTGGAAGTCGAATGGGAAAGACACATCACATCACGAGGGGATAGTGGCAATAGAAGCAAACAACACATCCTGAACTTCTGCACGCTTCCAACGACTGCACGGCACCATTTACGGCAGGCATTGAATCCCCAGTGCGCTCGACAAGCTCTGCAAACTCTTCGCGAGCGAGAGCCCGCCCCAAGTCGAGGGGCAACGCATCTGCGCGCTGAATGCACGGGCGAAGCGCGCCCCAGAGCGCGCGGCCGGGTTCGCGCGAGCAAACGCACCGCCCCATAAACGAGCAAGTCCGCTGCCACCGCGCTGGGCCGGAGAGAACGGAACACCCGATCCCTCGAGAAGAAGATTCCCAAGACGCGCAGACTTTTTGAGGGGGCGCCAACGCTGACGATTGCGCATAATACGCGCACGTTCGCGCGCAGCTTCGTGCTCGGGAAGGTCGCTCGCACGCCGCGCAGCTTCCCCTTCGGCAACCGGGAACTGTCTGTTCAGACCAGCAAAGTGCGCCCACAGCCCCACGGCTTGACAGAATGCGCCAGCATCAATGCCGAAGAAGGAAGAGAGACGCGGATGAGCACGGACAGCACGCACAACAAGACGCTGCACGCCGGCACGAAAGGAAGAAAGAGCAGCAATACATCAGCGAAGAAGCTCATGAGGATACTTGGCTTCACGACGCCGCAGGACTTTCCAAGTCTCGGCGCGCGCTTCGTGCATGGCGTCTTCTGCGCGGGACAGTCGAGTCAGAGTCGGGGGCCCAGGATCGACCCGTTGCACGCGACCAGTCAGAGGCCCCTGGAACTCAGACGTCGACGGGACCCAGGAAGGAATGTGAAGGGGGCATCCAGCAGCCGCGGCCCCACTGCGATCGCAGCCACAACGGGGGCGTGATCTGACGGGTTCTTCAAATTAGTAGGCGCGCCAGTCGTCGAACCTGCGACCACGAGATCCACGAGAACAGCGGGGTGGATATCGACGTGGACACGGCCCAGACGAGCTGTATAATCTATCTTCGGACAAGAGCAAGCGCGTCGAGCACCCGCAGGCTGATGCCGTTCAATCCAGTCTCCAGAAGAGCCATTCCATTTGCGAGAGATGGAAGAGCCCCCGCGACTGGCAGCCCCCGTCTCAAGATTGAACCGACCCTCATTACTAAAACCAAAGGTGAAGTCCCCCAGCAGGAGGTGAGAAGCAGCAGAGGACGGAAGCAAAGCGGAACACACAACTGAAAGACAATAACGATAATAGACAATCCCTGCGTCGACATACGGCACGTGGACAGAGACGACCCCCAATGGGCCGGCCTCCCCCCATCCAAGCAGATGCGACGCCTTACCCGGAATCGAAGACTACAGAGCGAAGCCCGAAAACATGCCCACCAACGCGGCGCTGCGACAGACCCAGACCCCGCGTCCAGGAGCGCCACCAGGGCGAGCACCCAGGGACAACCTCGCGCGAAGGGAACTTCTTCTCAAGAGCGACAACGTCCCCAGAGTGCCCATGGGACTCTTGGGTACACGCAAAAAGGCGCTTCCTACGCGGCTCCGCGAAGATGCGCCAAAGAGCACGGGCACGAACCTTCACACTGCTAAGGCCCCCAGACAAACCCCCCGCATTCCACGCGACGACTGATTCAAGTTGCTTCGGCGGGAAGGGGGGGAATTGCGCCGCCCCGATCCCCCCCAGGGCGAAGCGTGTCTTGCCGAATTGGCTCGCGCGCAGGAGCGAGGCGATGCCCTGCGCAAGCCGCGCAACCCCAGACGGGGCGCCCTCAGATGTTGGAGACTCGGAATCGTCAAAGACTCACTTGGCCCATCACCCCATCCACAATCGACTGGTGCTTATTCCTCGAGACCGATTTGAACGAAGTGGCCCACGAACGCAATCGCGCGTGGAGTGTTGAGCGGAGAGGCAGCGCGGAGACGCGGTAGAGCTTCGCCGCATTACCCGAGGCGTCATTTGACGCATAGATGAACCCGCTGCTGACCGAAGAATCCGTAGACCAGACCTTCAGAGCGGGAGACGCCTTCGCAACTCCTCCGAGATCACCGCGGACCGCGCCCAAAACTGCCAACTGCTCATGCGCCTCAGCATCGCGGAGGATGAGGGCGAGGGCGAGGGCCGGCGCGCGGGGGCCCGCGCCCGTGGAGGACTGCCGGGCAGTGGAAAAACAACACAGAGCATCGCCATGCGTCAGGAACCCTGCCCACGGCTCAATCAGTCCACCGCTTACACGGTCGCCCCTGCGACCGGATGCCCATTGGCTGCCTCTGTAGCAATTCCTTTAACCATCTACCGTCTGTGGAACTGTCTGTCTTCCCCAGGAGGGCAGCTTTTCGCGCTCGCGGCAAAACAACCAACGATGAGAGGCCAGCGCTGTCGCAGGCAGCCTCGGCTCTATGAGTGGCCCTGACCCCGCGGGCCCATCCCCTCGACGCTGAAACCCCCCTGATGCAACCTCGGGGTGTGGACGATTTTCCGCGGCGTTCGTCTTCGTTCAATTCGTAGCCGTCGTTCTCTTTCAGCTGTCATTGTCCAGCACCGCTTCCGCGCAAAGCTGTTCAGCATCGCGGAGAAACTTCAAAGGCGGCGTCTCGGGGCCCTTCGGGGTCTGGAACTCGAAACCGTCAGGAAAGTGCTTCCGAAACGTCATCAAGGCACGCTCAGCCGCATCCGCCAGAGGGAACGCAAGAATGACTATCTTCGATAAACTCTGAGGCGTCACATCCACGGTTCGCTTCACTTTTCTCAGCGCGCGCAGAGAGAACGGCCGCGCATGCATCATGCAAGGATGGCCTTGGAGGGAAAAAGAATTTCCACCACGGGGGGACGGCAACCCACGGAACTTCTTGAACGGGCCCACGGAGGCCTGGGAAGACGGAGAACCGATGCTGGACATGTTTCGTAGCTTCTGAATATCAGCCTCCATATTCGCGATGTTCTCTGTACTTGCTGCCACATACCCTTCTGCAGCAGTCTCCCCAGCCTGAACCGAGACCATCGTGAGGGCTTCATTCATAATTTGTCACCTGAGCACTCAACTCCCTCATCGCGACATCCGTCGCCGAAGGTGCCATGGCCGCGCGAACCCCGAGCGCGGGTGATCCGAGCGGGGAGGGGGAGGCCAGCAAGCAGAGCAAAGCAAGCAGGCCGCTGCGCCTGCACCTCGAGCCCCCGGTCGTCTCCGAACAAGGTCGAAGCGCCAGGGACGAACGTTTCGACCTTGAGCCAAAATGACTACGGATGATGATGATGATGGTGGTGGTGGTGGTGATGATGATGCTGGTGGTGATGCAGCTAAAAATGAATATATATATATATATATATATATATGCGCAGCCCCCCCCCCCAGCACCCACTGATTTTCATCGCGGTTCGCGCTGATCGCACTCGCATTTTCTTTACTGCCAGATTCGGTTCTCGCCCTGAGACGGCGGCATCGAATAATGAACGTCATCTGGAGAGCCAACCACTTGATCCTGCATCTCCTTCCCCTCTTTCACCTCGTCCATCCTCCTCCTCCTCCTCCTCCTCCTCCTCACTCAGAAGATGCAAGCGTCCGCTTCCCCCGCCTTTGGGAGAACAGGTATAAGATATCAGCGGCAGCGCTAACAAGAACGATAAGCGAACCATATGATTTCTCAGGCATTCCAGGGATGCACAGGGATGCTAAGTGACGATCGCTGTGCAGGCTCAGGGATCCCAGGGATTCCAGGGATGCGAAGTCACGATCCCTGAGCAGGCTCAGGGACCCCAGGGCTTCCAGGGATGCGAAGTCACGATCCCTGTGCAGGCTCAGGGATCCCAGGGATCCCAGGGATTCCTAATCCTCCAGCAAAACCGACCTGGGGATCCACCAGCGATCCCGCGCTCAGAATCCCTGGGATCCCTGAGCCTGCTCAGGGATCGCGACGTCGGTGGTCAGCAAACCATATGATGTCTCAGGGATCCCAGGGATTCCAGGGACCCCTGAGCCCCCACAGGGACCCCAGGGATTCCTGACCCTCCAGCAAAATCGGCCTGGCGACTTCGCTAAGATTTGGGGGGTTGGGAATCCCTGGGATCCCTGGGAACCCTGAGCCTGCACAAGGATGGTGACTTCGCATCCCTGGAATCCCTGGGATCCCTGAGCCTGCTCAGGGATCGTGCATCCCTGGAATCCCTGGGATCCCTGAGACATCATACGGTTTGCTGACAACCGACGTCGCGATCCCTGTGCGGGCTCAGGGACCCCAGGGATTCTGAGCGCGGGATCGCTGGTGGATCTCCAGGTCGGTTTTGCTGGAGGGTTAGGAATCCCTGGGATCCCTGGGATCCCTGAGCCTGCACAGGGATCGTGACTTCGCATCCCTGGAATCCCTGGGATCCCTGAGCCTGCTCAGGGATCGTGACTTGGCATCCCTGGAATCCTGGGATCCCTGAGACATCATATGGTTTGCTGACCACCGACGTCGCGATCCCTGAGCAGGCTCAGGGATCCCAGGGATTCTGAGCGCGGGATCGCTGGTGGATCCCCAGGTCGGTTTTGCTGGAGGGTTAGGAATCCCTGGGATCCCTGGGATCCCTGAGCCTGCACAGGGATCGTGACTTCGCATCCCTGGAATCCCTGGGATCCCTGAGCCTGCTCAGGGATCGTGACTTGCCATCCTTGGAATCCCTGGGATCCCTGAGAAATCATATGGTTTGCTGACAACCGACGTCGCGATCCCTGAGCAGGCTCAGGGATCCCAGGGATTCTGAGCGCGGGATCGCTGGTGGATCCCCAGGTCGGTTTTGCTGGAGGGTTAGGAATCCCTGGGATCCCTGGGATCCCTGAGCCTGCACATGGGAGCGTGACTTCGCCTCCCTGGAATCCCTGGGGTCCCTGAGCCTGCTCAGGGATCGTGACTTCGCATCCCTGGAATCCCTGGGATCCCTGAGCATGCACAGCGATCGTCACTTAGCATCCCTGTGCATCCCTGGAATGCCTGAGAAATCAGATGGTTCGCTTATCGTTCTTGTTAGCGCTGCCGCTGATATCTTATACCTGTTCTCCCAAAGGCGGGGGAAGCGGACGCTTGCATCTTCTGAGGTTGCGTTAGAAAAAACATTCCGCTTGCAACACGTGACTCGGGAAGAGGAACGGAAAGGAGCAGGGATGGTGAGAAGAGGATGCGTCTCCAGCTTCGTGGAAGAGGGAGAAGGCGTAGAGTGGGTGCTGGGGGGGGCTGTCCATATATATGTATGGAGATGCAGATGAAGATGACGATGGACATGAAGATGAAGAAGAAGATGGGCATCAAGACAAAGATGTAAATGCACATGAAATTGACGATGATGATGCTGATTACGTGTGTACTCAGACTGATGGTGTTGGTGATGATGATGGCGATGTTGATGAGCATGATGATTATGTGGATGATGATGATGATGACGAGTATGGTGATGGTAATGGTGATGATGATGCTGATAATGATGAAAATTATGAGAATGATGCTGATGATGCTGAAGCTGATCGTGATGATGCTGGGAATGTTGATGGTGTTGGCGGTGGCAGTGATGATCATGATGGTAATGATGATGATGATCATGATGGTTGTGATGATGATGATGCTGATGGTGGTGGTGAAACGGTGATGACGATGGTGATTAAGATGAAACAAGATACATGTAATAACGTTGATAATTGTCATGGTGATGAGCATGCTGACAATGGTGCTTATTATGATGATGAAGTGCTGATGATGATGCTGATGCTGATGATGATAATCATGATCGTGATGATGATGCTGATGGTGATACTGATGCTTCTGATGTTGATGATGCTGATGCTGATGATGATGATCATGGTGATGGTGATGGTGATGGTGATGATGATGGTGAAGGAGAAGACGAGGAGAAGGAGTGGCGACAATGAGGTCGAGGAGGAGGAGGACGAAGACATTGAGGAGGACAAGGACGAGGACGAGAACGAGGACGAGGAGGACAACGAGGAGGACCAGGACGAGGTGGACGGGAAGGGACGGGCGCGGCTGGCCGTGCCGCGGGCCGCGGGCGGTGCGGGCCTTCCGGTTGTACGCCTCGGCGGCGTCGATCTCGGCGGCGAAGGCGGGCGCGGCGCCCACCAGCGCCACGGCGGCGGCGGGCGAGAGCTCCAGGAGGCGCGCGGGGCCGGTCTGCGAGGGGGGAGCCCTGAGATCATGGCGACTCCAATCTAGGGGAACAAAAAATGGCAGAAACGTAGAAACTCGGAGGTCCGCGCGGATTTCTCGGATCGGCGCTGGACCCCCTCCCTGGCGCGCAGAGCGAGCCAGGGGCGGCGCTGGAGGCGCCGCCAGGGGGGTCCAGCGCGGATCCGAGAAATCCGCGCGGACCTCCGAGTTTTTATGTTTATGTCATTCTTCATTACCCTATAATTTTTGAGCCAGGCGATTCTTTCAATCTTGGGCCCCCGAACCCTCACAGATCGATGCGGCTTTGAAAATTGCGCAGGGAGATGGGGTCCAGGGCTCCAGTCGTGATTGTTCACGGTGCATCATTTTTGTTCGAGATGTCAGATCTCAGGGGGGGAGCGGGAGCGTATGTTGCATCTTCGGGGGACCTGATCTGTCCCGTTGCGCCAGCCATCGGTGCGGCATCCACGTCGAAGCCGTGTCGACTGCATCGAATCCGTGCCGAAGCCGCGTCGAGGCCACGTCGGAGCGCAAGGCAAGACTGCCACTCACGGCACGGGAGCGGTTTCCAGAAGATGGAAAACCAGGAGCGGCAGGGGGGAAGAGGGGATACGAGCGGCGGACGTGTCCATATCCACGTCCTCGCGGTCTGGACTCTGGGGCGCGATCCAGTGGATACGCGGTTGCACGGGCACATTTGCGAGACGGGGGTTTATCCATATCCACCGCCAGGGAACCGACGTCCTGGTGCCCCGGCGGGCGGTGGATATGGACATATATATATATATATATATGCATATGTATACCTATATATATATACACATATATATAGGCCCCCAGGGGGCCCGAATATGTCCGTATCCACCGCCTGCCAAGGTCCCCAACAATTGATCCTCCAAGCGGTGGTCATGTAGAAATTCCTGCCTCGGAACATTCCGCCCGGGACATCCGCGAAGCAAGGCCCCGTATCCGCGGAGTCGCGGCCCAGGGGCCTGCCCCGCGAGGCCGTGGATAGTTGATGTGTCCCCCGCCCAAAACGAAGGAAGCCAGGAGGGAAGGAAAGCGCCGGGGAGGTGTCGGGGGATGCCAATTGTATACACCTGCGCCGATCCCGACCAGGCTCGTCCTGGGCCTACGTAGTTGTATCCGCCCTCCTGGTGCAGCCTGGCTTGGGCAGGAAGGCGCGTACACGGTTCCTGGGCCCAGGATCGGCCCGGCCAGGATCGGCGCAGGCGTGAAGTAGGCGCACGTCGGAGGTTGAGGGAGAGGAGGACCGAGCCGATCATGGGTGTCCTGTAGTGCTTTTCGCGCGGTGACCCCAAGGGGCCACCACCCGCGAGTGAAGCAGAAATGCTGCAGTGAACCTCTTACCCGAGTTTCTAGCTTCGGCCCTTTGGGCCAGCGAACTTTGCAGTTAGGTCTCGTGCAGTTGGTTATTTCAAAGCCTTGTACACTGTTACCAAAGACTGCTCGGGATAACTGTCATGCGACATGGAATACGAGGGGGACCGAGAAACACCATCAGAATTACCATAGGACCAGGAGGGATCACTCGAAGCACCGGAAGACCGAGAAACACCACTGGAATTACGGGAGGACTGAAAGGGACCACTGCAATTACCGCCTTTGGATCTCATGCAGTTGGGCATCTTACAGCCTCGTGCGGTCTTTCCAACGACTGCTTGGGGACACGTTCCTACCACTTGGGAGGCGGGGGACCGAAAAGCACTAGTAGAATTTACAAGGGACCGAAAGCGGCCACTGGAAGTTCTGGAAGACCGATAAGCAAGACTGGAATTACTGGGGGGCCGAAAAGCACCACTGGAATTCACAGAAGACCGAGAGGCACCACTGGAATCACCTCAGGACCATTAAGCACCACTGGCAATGCACATCGCAAAAGGCAAAAGGCGTACTGATACCTTCCAGGTTTGGGCTGTCCCCTACCAGGGGCTGTTTGTCTGCTGCTGGCTTGCGGTCGTGGGCCCTGGCGCGCATGCTCGGCTACCGACCCACTGTGTCTAGACGCAATGGTGACACTCCATGGGTGCCTCGCTTCGCTGGAGAGGGGGACCGTCGGCACAAGAGTACCCCCAGTGGCCTTCAGGGTGCGAGCCTTCGGCAAAACGGCGCGCAGACTGCTGCACTGTCGAGTCCAACCGGCCGACCCCTTGGGCGTGGATTAATAAGGGGCGGTGAGCTTGGGGTAACTAGGACTGCCGAAGAGGGGCCCTTTTGAAGGGCCCTCGAGGGCCCCAGAGGGGGCCTCTAGACCCGAAGTATGCACTTTCTCCCCCCCCAGAATCGCCCCTCCTTTAATTCGCGCCCAGGTTCCACTTGTGTCGGCGAACGTCGGCTGGAAGGCCCCTTGCGCCGTCGTTGCCGCGATCGTCATCCCTCCTCCCCCCTCGTTCGCGCCTGGACGCATGCCCACGCAGCCGCCCGCCCGCGCGCACCACGCCAACCTTCCCCCCCGCCAAACCATGAGCGCCCCCCCCCTTCTGCCCCCAGAACACCATCAACCCGCCGCCCTCTCCCACCACCCCTCCCAAACTTTCGTGCGCCATCCCTCCCTGCCCCCCACCCCCTCCTCCGCTTCCCTCCAGCCTCCTCCACTCCCTCCCCCGCTGTTTCACTCCTGCTCCTCTGCCCGGCGGAACCTGGGGCGCCGGGACGAAGGCACAGCGGAGGCCGAAGGCCACAAGCGCCAGCACCTGCCCGCGCAGCACGGGGAAGGAGGGAAGAAGCCAGGGAAGGAGCAAAGGGGCAAGGGCAGCAACAAAAAGATATAGAAGTAGAGCCTCACCCGAAGGTGGGAGTCCTTCCATGGGAATCTTTCGAATGGGCGTCGGAGAACTGTAAGGGAATCGCCCTCTTAGTCCCGTCGAACCCCTTGGCTGATCCCCATCGCGTTCCCTCTCTCCCTCTCCCTCTCCCTCTCCCTCTCCCTCTCCCTCCCATCGCTGCTCATCACCTGCCCCCCCTCCGCAAAAGACGCTACCCTAGACAGCTTCGCGGGGGTTGGGGAGAGCGCGGAGGGCGCTGCTCATTGGGCGGGCCCGCACCCGCGGGGCGGGCGCGCGACGCCTTGCTCGCGTCGCCGCGCCCCGCGGGAGCGCGCGGGCGCAGCGACGCCCAGCGACCCGCCCCAACCACAGGAGCGGCGAAGGGCGAGGGGAAAGGAGAACGCCGCTACCGCGGCAAGCCGACGCGCGCGCGGAGCGCGCAGGCCTCGCGATTGGCCGTTGCGCGCCCCTGCGCCGCGCGTCGTGCGCGGGGGCATGTTTACCCCCCCCACCCCACCCACCCACCCACCGCGGGGGGGGGTCATGAAGGGGACCAAGACCCAGAACACGAAGTACACAAGGACCTGAGCGCGCCCCCCTCTTCCAACCTCTTGCCCAACCGCCCCGCCCGCCACCCGCCCCCGCGGACCGCGCGGCGATTCGCGGCGCCCGCGGCGGGGGGGAGGGACGGACAAACGCTGCTAGGTGCGCATTTTTGTGACAACGAACAAAACTGCGTAGTGTTCTGCCACACAAAAGACGCCACCCTAGACAGCGTGCGGGGTTTGGGGAGAGCGCGGGGAGTGCTGCTCATTGTGTAGGCCCGCACCCACGGGGCGGGCGCGCGACGCCTTACTCGCGTCGCCGCGCCCCGCGGGAGCGCGCGGGCGCAGCGACGCCCGAGGCGCTAGCTGCACCGGCGCGCGAGGGAACACCCATCGCCGCACTCGCGTGAGGTGCCCGAAATACAACTCCTTTAGCCTTCATCATCGTCGCTGGACGACAGGTCGC